CAATGCAAATTCCAGTCCAACATCTTATAGGACCAATTAAATTCAAATTAACACTCATTAATGGAATGGGAGCTGATTTTTAATTCTGAACGTTGCTTAACCCTGGTTCTGTACAGATATATATTTACACGTACATGCCCAATTCTCACACTGAATTCCACTGAAGTGTTTGTAGTTCAATTTCTGTTTTCATCCCACATGATCAATGATTTCGGGAATCATTTGCGATGACTAAATACTTTGATAAAGGACCACAGTGTACCAAAGACAGTCTCACCCTCTCTTATCACTGAACCACCCTCTAAATCCAAAATCACAGATCACAGGATCGAGAACGAGTGTTTAATTTCTCTCTCATGGGTTTGGTGGATCTTGTGTGATAGTTATCATACATCCCTGAGTGAGAGATCAGATTTATGTTCATGTAAATTCATGTGTCTTCAGTGATAAACTAAGCTCAAGGTTTTCTGCATGAGTGCAGCTCTGCTGTAGTCATTTACATCTCTAATGGACTGTAGTAGAATGATGTTTAAATGGACCACAGCACTAATTACTGACTGTGCTTACACTGCAGTCCATTAACAGAAGAGGACGAGACCATCATGTCCAGATCTGTGTGTATGAAACTGCCTAAATGGCCCAAATACTTTTTGGGGTCACTGTATGCGGTTGATATGTTTATTTTTAATGTGTGTGTGGGGGGGTTGCTAAGATAACTTATCTGTGTTTGAACACCTTCACTCTTCCCTGTTTTCATTCCTTTGTTTTTAAGCCCAGATGATCTCATCAAGTTTTTCTCTTTCTAGAGCGCTTTGTGAGAGATTATGCACTATGTAACAGTATTTAAGATGAGGCAGGCTAACAGTCTCTCTGGTAAACCTCTTGTACACGAGGGACAAAAGGGAGAGACAGATGAACGAATCTAATGTCTCATCAAGCCTCGAATCACAAGTCAAGCTCTATCAACAGCCTTTGTTGATTACCACAGAGAATAAATTTGACTAATTAAAAAAAGACAACAAAATCACATATACAGAAATAAATTTACAATGGAAGTAAATAAGACCAGTTCCAGGGGGTAAACGCACAAGTATGAAGCTGGTATTTTTGTAAAATACACAAAGCACATACATTAATTATTCAGCATAAGCCTGTGTATTATTCAATGCAAATTCCAGTCCAACATCTTATAGGACCAATTAAATTCAAATTAACACTCATTAATGGAATGGGAGCTGATTTTTAATTCTGAACGTTGCTTAACCCTGGTTCTGTACAGATATATATTTACACGTACATGCCCAATTCTCACACTGAATTCCACTGAAGTGTTTGTAGTTCAATTTCTGTTTTCATCCCACATGATCAATGATTTCGGGAATCATTTGCGATGACTAAATACTTTGATAAAGGACCACAGTGTACCAAAGACAGTCTCACCCTCTCTTATCACTGAACCACCCTCTAAATCCAAAATCACAGATCACAGGATCGAGAACGAGTGTTTAATTTCTCTCTCATGGGTTTGGTGGATCTTGTGTGATAGTTATCATACATCCCTGAGTGAGAGATCAGATTTATGTTCATGTAAATTCATGTGTCTTCAGTGATAAACTAAGCTCAAGGTTTTCTGCATGAGTGCAGCTCTGCTGTAGTCATTTACATCTCTAATGGACTGTAGTAGAATGATGTTTAAATGGACCACAGCACTAATTACTGACTGTGCTTACACTGCAGTCCATTAACAGAAGAGGACGAGACCATCATGTCCAGATCTGTGTGTATGAAACTGCCTAAATGGCCCAAATACTTTTTGGGGTCACTGTATGCGGTTGATATGTTTATTTTTAATGTGTGTGGGGGGTTGCTAAGATAACTTATCTGTGTTTGAACACCTTCACTCTTCCCTGTTTTCATTCCTTTGTTTTTAAGCCCAGATGATCTCATCTGTTAGGCAAGTTTTTCTCTTTCTAGAGCGCTTTGTGAGAGATTATGCACTATGTAACAGTATTTAAGATGAGGCAGGCTAACAGTCTCTCTGGTAAACCTCTTGTACACGAGGGACAAAAGGGAGAGACAGATGAACGAATCTAATGTCTCATCAAGCCTCGAATCACAAGTCAAGCTCTATCAACAGCCTTTGTTGATTACCACAGAGAATAAATTTGACTAATTAAAAAAAGACAACAAAATCACATAAACAGAAATAAATTTACAATGGAAGTAAATAAGACCAGTTCCAGGGGGTAAACGCACAAGTATGAAGCTGGTATTTTTGTAAAATACACAAAGCACATACATTAATTATTCATGATAAGCCTGTGTATTATTAGCTGTAAAGTTGAAATTATTATTTACATTGTCATGACAACAGAGTTAATGAAGTTAAGATTAGATACAACACAATTAAGATCAGCGTATGATTCGTTTCTTGAGCACCAAATCAGCATATTAGAATAATTTCTGGAGGATCATGTGACTCTGAAAAAGAGTAATGATGCTGAAAATTCAGCTTTGCCACCAAAGAATAAACAACATTTTAAAATATAATCAAATACAAAACAGTTATTTTAAATTGTAGAAATATTTTAATATTATTGTTTTTAATCAATAATTATTTTGTGTTTATTCTCTTTTTTTATTATTTTTGAAATTAAAAAAAAAAAAATATATATATAATATATATATTTTTTTAATGAACATTTTTTAAACAAATAAATGCAGCCTTGGTGAGCATAACAGAATCCTTAAAAAAAAAAA